AAGTACAGCAAAACTATCTCTTCTCAACAGATTTCATATCAAGCATATAAATGGAATTTCAGTTTTTGTTTATGAGGAAATATGAATAATCAATAAATATAATGATATAATCAAAAGATTACTATACTATATCCCTATTGTAAACAATGACAATAAAAAATAGGGTACCAGTTAAAGATGTGAAAAGTTAGTAATCTAACTGTGAATGAAGTAAGATAATTAAAATATTTTCATCACAATCATTAAGGGTATTAAAGTAGTTAAATGAAATGAAATAATTATGAATAAAACAACAAGGATATGAGAAATAATTAAAAAGTGGGAGATTTATTTCAAATGAGTAATCAAAGAAATGAAAGTAATAATACTAATAATAGTGATAATACTAGTAATAATAAATTTAGGGCCTTGGTAGACACAATGATAAAAAGTAAATCTTGCGTACATACATCTCAGGCTTCATTTTATAGATGGCAAAAGCTTTAACTGATTGAAGGAAATGAATACAAGGAAATCCTGGTAACTTTGGAAAGAAATTATTACCAACCTTAAAATCGACCCATGGATAAATGTAGTGGTTAGAATTCTTTGGAAACTCAGGGGTAGAACTTCTAACCGCTTTCTTCTGACCTTTGTAGAACCACACTAGGGTATTTTTCATATCCGAGTTGAAAGCAATTACTGGCTACTGCTTACACACCTTTCTCCATGAGAGCAGGAAAATTAATAGATGTACATCGAGGCGACAAGACGAGTGATCTTACCTTTTACCAATGCGGAGAGAAATTTCCACTAGTGGAATTTAGTCACAGCTTTGCCGCACAGATCTTTAATATAAGAACCATTTTATTAAATTAAAAATAACGCACATACTAATCAACACATTGAGAATCAAATTAAACTAGTTAATTTTTTGTAAATGACAAAGAAAAAATGATAATAAATTCCGGTGCATATCAAGCATAATTATTTGAAAGTTACGTTTGGCAGATATTTATTACCGTAAAACGTCTGTGCACAAAACACTGATGGGAATCAAAAGAAGTTAATAAGATTAAGTTCGTGAAAACGTTTATGAACGCGCTTTCGTAAATGAAACATACTATAGTTAATTACTTCCATTGAAACTCAACTAAATTTTGTGAATCAAGATTTTGATTTACAAACTAGTGAATTTGATGCTCCACATCTTGGTACTGGTTGAAAAAATGTCATGGGAATATTATCGTCCATAATTGTATTTTATTAGACCAGTCTATTTTTGAAAAAAAATAACCTTGATTATGTGTTGTCTTTCTATTATTGTTTTAGTCTTTATTTAACGTGACGTTTTGTAGGCTACACAAGATCTCAATAAACTTCCTTGCTCATACACATTCGATCTAATTATATAAAAGGTGTGTAAGGCATAAGTTAAAGTTATTTATTTGTACACTACAATTTCCATCCGCAACGTACTAAGGGTAATTTAAAGCTTGACCATTATATCTTAACATATGTTAAAAGAATATTATTCGACCAGTGTAGACATCTCAAAGAAGTGAAACAGTTCCTATTTCACATCCATTTCTGACTACATGTTTAACTCACAAAATTTATAAAATATTGAACAGATTCGTATGGATAATCAACCTACGATTTTTGACATTATGAAATATATGTGAATGATATATTTGCAATTAAAATAATTAACAATATGACCTCTTGATTTGAGACAAATTGGTCATCTGTGTTGTTTGATAGTATTTCTGTTTAGTAATACTGATATACCAATGATTTATAAGGTCAAACATTAATCTATATTTTTCATAGTCAGATATGAGAATGTCGGTCTTTGATGAAACTTAATCCTATAGTTAATCGTAATTTCAATTTGATTTTTTCGATTCTAAATAAAACACCGATTAAGCATTGTCTTCATTCAATATTATTGTCGATGTTGACCAGAGATGTTTTATTTGATAATAAGGCTCTTAAAATTGCACAGTATAAAAATATTTCTATTATATGCTGATATATCTGGACGTAAAAGATGTATACACGTGCAAATGACACGATTTCCTTTTGGAAAATAGAAATTTAGTTTTACCATTGAGTTGTCATTTATATTACACACATTGTACTGAACATAACGGCATAGTGAAGCATGTTTCCCAAAAAATCATAACTGTGTCTTTTACTTGAATTGGATCCATAAAATTCGTTATACTAGGATAAATGGACACACTTCAGTTACTGTTTACGTTCATATCATATATATATCTTTCTTATAAATTCAGTGAACTCAGTTACCTTGTTGTCGATCAATAGCTTGGGATTTAGAAAAGATGGTAGTTTGATCATTTAAAACCTTATCATACATACCGCGAAACCTTTGTGTTACTTGTCTCTCGACAGGTTGAAAGCTGTACATATTTATATCCATTTTGGAACTAATAAAGAATTTAAAAAGATAATTTGTCACTTCAGATAACTTGTACGTTATAAAGGGCGGGTAAATAAATATATGTACTCGATCTGTAATTCAACTTCATGATGTTTAATTATTAACAATAAATCTGTAGAAGAATTATATATATATATAATTACCAGATGATTCAAGGAATCTCGCACTCCATCTTATCGTTGTCATGGATTCCTTATTATTTATTTGATTATTATTTAATTAATTATTAATCAAAGTGAATTAATGGAATGACTAAATCAATATTCTAGACCTTCATTTAGTCCTAACTAGTTTAATTTCAACTAATTTATCTTATTCTGCTTGTTAAATGACTGAAAAATTGTTTAGCACTTTGTACCACAGCTGAAAGTTAAATGCCCAAACCACATCAACAGAATCAAACGAAGAATGGAAACTGATAAACCTTAGCTATTAAACTGTTTCTTTTGTCATTGTTCATTTTGGTCATATTGTAGTGAACAGAACACGACTGGTTTTGGACAATCGAATGTATTTAAGCAAAGATTACAGACTATCTCAGTAAATTCTGATAACCGAACAATGAACAGTCAATTTGCAAATTAACAACCAATTGTTTCAATCTTCACTGTTTCTTCTCTAATTTCATTGCTCATGCATTTTCCAAACGGTTGCGCTTCATTTCAGTTCCTTCCTCATTGGTCTTCTGCCAAAATACATTCTATGTCTGACCCACACCATATACTACTTATATGTATATAAGTAGACCACACCACAATATGTTAACTGTGTGATCATATCTAATGAGTAATGATTGACGCACTTCGCGATAAAAATTTGTTATTTCTTTCTTGTGTGTGACTTTTTTCTTTTACAGGTTCATCCTTCACATATAAAGTCTTATTTACTTCTCGGAGATATAGAGTTAACTGAAAAGGCGAACATAAACTAGCAAAACAAGTAAATCTATGAATTCGTTAATGCTACCTCATCCTGAACATACGTCAACATATACTCACTTTTTTCCTACTTAGTATTTTGAAGAAGCGCTGAAATTGGACCCAAAGAACATTCAGGCAAAACATAACCCTTGTGTTGCTTTGGAAGATGAAGATAAGCTAGAACAATCTGAATCATGCCTTTTAGAGGCTATAGCCATGGAACCGAAGCTTCAAAACCATTTACTACAACATCTAGAAATTATACGTGGACGTCTGCATTCTCGTGGAAGACATACATATACCAAGTTAAAGAATGTTAACTAATCGGACTACCGAAATCATACATGATTTGAATGTTTAAAAATTATATCCACTGTTTCTGTCTTTTACACAGAATATCATGACGATCCACAAAGGGACACTACTTACACGTTAACTATAGAATGTAATTTACGCCCACCAATATCTATTTTCAGATCAAGTTGACTGGAATGTTTATTTCATGTAGGACGTTTGACAAGACCACATCAATATGGCGCATATTATTAAACGCGAGGATCAAGTTGGGGGGAGATTAAGTATATAAGCGTTTAAAATTTGATCACTTCACTAACTCTCGTTTCATCTATTCAACCAAACCGAAACGCACTTAACTAAACGTTCAGTGAATAGTCTGCTTTCAACAAATAGTGTGATTTCTCGAATTTAATAACAATTCATTTTCTTTATTACTCCAGTCATGTCCTATATATCTATTTTGAACGACGAAGCTAAGAATCTAGTTGACCTGCTCAAAAATTAGTATAGGGTTTTGCAATAGTGTATTTTCACTTACTATTAAATATCATTCCGACATGATATTCGCAACCTACTTATTGATAGTATGGGCCTTTTTGGTGTGTGCTTTTATGGGTATCAACCAAAATATTTATTTATAAATTGATAGGTTTTGATTAGTCCTATCAATGAACCTTACAACTATTTTGTGAAGTCAACTAAGTTAAATTATGTGAAATGACCATCTGAAAATCATAGATGCTCTCACTCCCATGAGCGTCCTACTTTATGACAATCATATGATTCCACCAATTGTGAGTTTTGTGGTTGATAATTCGTTCGACCAACCTTTAAACATGTACAAGAGACTGATTATTTTAGAACAAAAACTCTCTTCACCTGAAGATCAATATGTAGCCTCTGTACGCTATAGATTGAAATTGCATAAACTTAAACCTTCAAAATATGCTATACTCTATACTGAGCGTTTTAGACCCGTGAATATACATGCTATCTAAGAATACTTTTATGAATCAGTCCTTAGAACAGTTTATCTGTGAAGTTTTTAACTCCAATTTGTTAGAGGTTGGTTGATGGCAGCAAATTACGTGTAAACGATCAGTTCTTGGTTTATTTAATTAAAGCTTAGTTAAAATATCATGATACTGTATAGTATTTCAAGTGACGTATGAGATATCTAAGGTTTTGTAAAAAAATTGTAGATAAATTTCTCAATATTGTGTAACGTTTTGACAAAGTGAGATAAACAGTACAAGGAAAAAATCCACCAATCAAAATAACTGCCCAAGTGTATTGGTCATTAACGTTACATTGATAAACTAAAAATTTTCTTTTCCTTCCATCTTTCCGTATCAAAAATACTTCATTTAAATTGTTTAACGTTGAGAAAATTATTAATTGAAAGTTTTGTTTATCATATGAGTCAAATTTTCAAATATGAATTCACTATGTTAACAATTGCATTACATTCAACTACTTCTTCAGTAGTACCCTGTAAATTTAAGTAAGTGTATCCAGTTTCGGCAGCAAACCAATTTTTATTTCTATAAATTATGTATTTATGCACTTTTCCGTGACATTCAAGTGATGTCATTATTCATTCAGTATGTACTGCTTAATATTAGGATGATTTTATGATTTACTTTATGTATATTTGATGTTCTACTGGAACTTCAAAAACACTGTAACGTGAAACAATTGACCAAAACAGTTATTTACAACTTCAGATATGGATAAAGATCTGAAGAATCTACTTATAGATCAAGGAGTGAGAAGTTAATTAAACCATAATGTCTTACACCATGTTGTGATAAAACATTCAAGCTTGTTTGTAATACTTCTGAAATAATAAAAGATGATGTGAAATATGTTATGCAGGTTTTTATAGTTCTCAAAATTAAAGAGCCTCACTACTTATTTTGTAGGCATGTAAGCGGTAATTGCCAAATATGCACAGACTTAAAAAGTTAGAAAATGTTAAGTAGAGTTTCATAGTGAATGGCACAATAGCCCTTAATCAGACATAGTGCTTACTTCTGAATTTTATATCACTGTATATCTAATATGATTCCTTTAACCTTATTATGAGAAATTTTTGTAATCTAAGAAAAAATTGTTCATTTGTTTAGTCTTAAACTTAACTAAGCAGAATATCTGACAGTCAGTTTTGATATACCTACATTTAGTTTTCCCAAGTTTACAAATATTAGTAATCTGCATAAAACCTAATATATACTAAGGTATCTTTACAAATGAGTGTTGTTTATCCTCATTACTATTAACCCTTTAAATTCCAAATAAATCAAACGTAAAATAATCTTACTTAATCTAGACTTATATCACAGTCTAAAAGACATTCCAGTTTTATGTCTTTAATTTTTTTGGTAAATAGGAGAATTAAGATAAAATAGAATGTACTTTTCTAATGAGAGGTATCATAAGGACTAAATATAAGCAGTGAAAATGATGTAGCAAATTGTATAGGTCTAATTTAATGAAATTAGTTTTCCGTTCTGTAAGTAGAGCAATCAAACAAGTGTATTGTGTTAAAGCTGTTTATGAAGTTAAATGGGAATAATAAAATCAGGGATTCTAAGACATCAAATATATTTGCTGTATATGGGGGTTCTTTAAGTGAGATAGGAGACACGAAATTTCCCTTCGGTCAGAGGTTTTGGTTTTAGTGACTGACGTTTTTCAGATTTCTGTTTCGACACAAGGTTTGATAATATAAACGACGGAATTATAGGACTTAGCTACACTATAAGACCTACTAGTTTTACGCTTCACACAGTCATCTAAAACTGTTAATTATTTGATATCAATAATACTGCATATTTGAAGTAAATTTTACAAGCTTCAATATCTATTTGAATCCTCGAGTACGAGTCATAAAGTGTGTTATCATACCCAGCACTTGTTTTGGCTAGTTTAGATAAAGTTTTCATGTAAGTTTTATTCGACACCTGAACATTTGATAAGTCCTTCAGTTCACTAAAATGAAATGTTCACCCCTTAGATTTCGGTGTAAGTGTATGCTTCTAATACTGAGAGTATTCGATTTCATATATCCCTCTGGATGTTCATACTCGTCAGTAGTACTTTTTTGTTGCTTTGTGTCAAAGTGAATCTCTAAATGACAATATTCAATTGATGGTATCGATTTTTAAACAATTTTATTAGTGACTGTTCACTGTTATTTTTATATGATAATTATTTCCAGGTAGTTAAGAGAATATATCATTTGAAAAAGTATTTTTCTTACCGTCAATACTTCTGATTTAGTTATTACTTGAAATCATTTCAAAGTAACATAAAATTATCATCGTTTATAACGGTAACCTATTTTATTGATTGGCAACCACTGAAATTTGAGACATAGAATATACAATATTACTATTAAGTTGTTATGATAAGCATTTTGATGAGAACATATTTCGACTCCTTTCTTTTGCTTTCATGTATCCCATTTTTAAATTGTCTGTTTTTATCTTTAATATGAATAAACAAGAGGTTTGAAAAAAGCATATTGGTTGTGTATTTGATTAAAATTTCTATTATTTGAGAGAACATTTTCACATAACTACCCAGTTAAACATATTACTATCTACCTTGTATAATGAACATTTAACCAGTTTTTATTTTGATAAAAGAACACATAATGTAGTCGAAATCGGAAATAATGTGGAGATTGCCATTAACGTCACAGATACAAATTAAACGTATGAAGTTTAGAAATAGCGTGTCTTTATGAGTAATCATCGATATTAGGAAACTATTAGAAATGACCAGAAACCCTGTGCATACAAATGTTCATTTTCTGGCCAACAACATTTTACTTCTTATGACGAAAACTGCTAACATATATTTTCAATAAAAGCTACTCACTTTGATCCCACCACATTTCTTTGACTACAGAAGCTAGAGTATATAACATTTTGTATTCTTAATATTCATTTGCGCCTATAAAACCATTCTAACTCGTTCGTTTTTATCAAACACCTACCTTACAGTCACCGTGACGTTAATAACAGTTAATAGCCATATCACAATCATAAGCAAAATAAGTTCATGTTTCCAAAATTTATACAATGTTTTTTATTAGTGAAAACTTAGATCTGTTAAGGAAACTAAGGCGCGATTAGTTTGACAGAATCGGTAGTGAATTAAAAACCCGATTACCTAGCTAACAGTTGCTTATGAATCACAACAAAATAGTGTCTCATTAGTTCAACAAGTCAACTAAAATGGTTCAAAACTAAAGAAAACAGTTGAAATGCATACATTAACGTTGCGTCATTTCTTGCAGTTAATTGAAAGGGAAAGGAAATGAAAGCTCCTGATAAGTAAGTGGCAACCTTTGGATGGCATTTAGATATATTCTGCCTCTTCCTACTTTTATATTTTTATGGATATATTTTGTTGTTTTAGCAGTGAGTTACGTTCTAACATTGTTGAAATCGCATTTTGCTTAAACTGAATAAATTTATAAGTGCAGAATAACTCAGTAATTTAGTAAATACGCATTTTAAGTAAAAATACGTATAACAAATTAAGGACAGTTTTCGACACTGATTGACATTAACTGCTAAATTATTGAAGCCGAGAAACACTAAACAGTCACTTGTTTTGGTTTAGCGCGTTTCAGAATTGAGCACTTACAGCTCTACTGGGAATTGTTTACTAGTCTATGTCGGTCTGTACTTTACATGAAAGTAGTTTTTACAATTTATTCAACTAAAACAAAATAGATAATTTTTGATATTGTTTAAGGTAATGGTTAATATTTTTTGTAGAGATTTATTCCTTAACTAGTGAACTGGGATGTTTAACTGATTAACGTAATGAACATTTAATTTATGTACCTAAATAAAAGCTGTTACGTCTAACTTGTGGGCAGTTTGACTCAATAATGCTGAAATGTAGAGAATGGAACCATTCAATTTGTTGATTTATCTTCCCATTAATTCTCATTAACTTGATTAGTGTAAATGATTTTTTTCGGGTCTTTCTAACAAGTTCCTTTTTAAAGAAAGAGGTTGCTAACCCTGAGGTTGGAACTGCAGTACCCCGGCTCCGAGTGGAGTTAACTTGACTAGGACATAAGTTTAAACTGATTTGTTAGCTTCTAGCGAACTGACGTTTTAGATGACTTCATTGTATCAAGCGGTTCAATGGTGCTTCGACTTTTATAATAATGAATTTTTCATAAGTAATTTACTAACATTGATAATTCCGAAATTTAACACTCCCAAGTAGTATCATATTATTTGATTTTTTCAAACATTTACATTAGTAGGCTGCTACTACTATCCCCATATTGGTGTGCTTTGATAAAGAATAAATATTCAATCGCTTCACTATTCCTGGTTTCCGCTGCACCATTTTAAGTAGTACTAACATGTAAATATTATAACTATTTCACAATAATTAAGTAAAATGAAAGGATAGTTAGTGCATCAACCATTAATCAACATATTTATTGAACAAAATACAAAACGTTAGTAATACGCAAGGGTTGAAACAAGAAACAATCCATCTTTCAGGTAATAGGTGTTTGAATACTTCATCTTGTTATTCATTCAGGTTCATTGTCAATTGTTGAACGCCTACAAATACACCATCAAATATCATAAAGAATGTGGTTTATTAAAATTATTGAAATCTATTCAAGATAATTTCAGTTGTAGCAATAATTTCAAAGTAATTTCGGTTATTGGTTCGGTGAACACTAATTGTCAATCAGAAGTAAAAGTCGAATTCGAGGAGACATTTATAGAGACTCGAATAATGCAGACACTTAAATTTGAATTGTATTCATACTCTTCTTTTGAAGCAATTAGAATAGATTCTACGATTTGTATAAAGAGGATCTAAAGGATCATAGGAATAATATTTACAAATTTTGTGGATTGGTGAAAAATGTTATCGTATAAGTCAAGGGACAATGGGGATTTAAAAAAAAGACTTTGAACTAGGAATTCTCAAGAAACTGTGTTTTCAATGGTACCAAGTACAGTTCTAAAATGTAAGAATATTCATTAAATGTGAACAATATCCTGGATCTTTTATAGTCCTTTGGTGACACTCCTAGCGATGACGATAATGAAGTATAGTTCCCCAACTAACTTCGTGTGTCATAGACTAAACCCTTTGTACAGTGGCGGTACGAAAAGCTAAATACGAAACGTCGTGGAAACGTTTATTTTACGAATTCAAATGCTAGGATCTGAACGGTCAGTGGATAAAAGCAAACTTGTGGGGAGGGGTTAATAGACCAACACCTTGAAAGTTAATCGTGTTTCATCCTATGCAAGTAGTGTACAAAATACAAGTAAGAAAGTACAAAACACCGACTATTATGCACAAACATGCGTAAAAACGTCCAAATTTCAAAGTGGATAATTAACAAGAGCAAATATCTAAAGATGTACAGAATAACGAATAACATTAAAATCATTCGTGTGTCAAATGATTTGTGTCATCTCACTGATGTACCTAGAAACTATAATTAGCTCATATAGGGGTTATAATAAGAGTCGTTGCACCTTTATGTACAACTTTTCGAGTTACTTAAATGAAGTTTATCATTACTTAATTTTTTGTTAAAACTAAGCACCGAAAATGTAGTCTTGGTATTTTTTTGTTGGTTGACACGGTTGACTTTTGAAATATGAAGGTGTTTAGAAATCAAATGATTGGAATAAAGATATGACTGCTTTATACTATAACTAACCAGATTCACATATTCATGACTGAACAGCATATTTAATGAATCATGCAGCAATAATGATTCTTTAAATGGTGGCATTCATTGTCTTCTAAAAAGTGAAACAATATTACAGTTCTACGAAGATTAACAATCTATATATATACAATACTTTAGAATCACATTACTCTCTTGTATTATAAAATGAAATGATGAGATCAGAATATAATCCCTTCTAAAATCAATAAAGGGGAATAATCAGGCGTTATTAGACGTTTGTAAAATTAGTATTAAATTTATTGAAAAATAATTTTAGGTTACTTTATAAACACTTTTTAGTATCATGCAAAAACCCATATGGTAAAATACTAGTTTAAGACAGTTTTTCTTCACATAGTTCTCACGATGGGCTAACAGTCAACAGAGAGCTGATTTTTTAAATATTTTAAAAAAAATCACTATACTACTTCCCAGATTATCATAATAATAAGAAGCAATAAATAATCACTACAGCATTAATTAGTAAGGATTTATCAACTGGCTCATAAATAAAATTTATCCAGGATTAAAGATAATTATTTTAAAGGCATCTAATATTCATTTTACGGGCGTTCATAACGTTAATCTCATATAGATAAATAAATATTTGAAAGTATAAATGATCGTTTAATTCACTGAACATTCTTCTCTGACTTCTGTTAACCTAATTTATTAGTTTATATTTTAAAAATAAAGTCATCAATCATCTCCAGACTGTTTGTAAATTTTGAGGCCATTTTAATTCAAAGTAGGTAAAATTGCATGATTCAGTAAAACTATAATGAATGTTAAATGTGTAAGCATCGAGTGACTTAGCATAAACTATTCCCTAGTTAATTCACTAACGAACACTATCGAGCGGAAAATTGTTCGTAAGCATATTCGCTTACTGAAAACGTCACTTTATTAATTAAACATATATGTTTTATCAGAGGGGGTTTTGTGGAGATTTAGTATTTTTCATAGTTTTAAAGCATGAGTCAATTGAAGCTAGACCACCATGGAAAACCTGGAAACACTGGACGGCCGTTTCGTCCTATTATGGGACTCCTCAGCAGTGCGCATCCATGTTTTAGTAAACACTTCTACGTTGACTAGTGGTCAAAGATTTGTGGTGGCTTGACTTCGTGATAATTCATTATGTTTTATTTATCAGTCACCTTGATAACCGTTACCATATAGATTTCAACTGTACAAGAGCTAGTATGGTAAAAAGAAGCGGTGACTACAATTTATTATTGGACAACACAGATAACAAAGTTACAGGAACATCAAGCGAATTGAGCAGAAGGCTAATGCATGCAAGCAAGAGAATACAGACTAGGATCTCTAGTCAAATTGAATCAACGAGAAGCGAGGCAAGGCAAAAGCTAAAGGAGGAGAGGCAAAGTGAAAGCAATTATTAAGATCCTAGCATATATATATATATATATATATATATATATGCTGAAGTGATCACTATGATCCCTTTCAGGCAATACTAGCTAATATGTTACATCGTATTCAGCCTCAAAAAGGTTATTTCTGCACACAGATTTCCTGTCATTACTGTTCGTCTGACTCCGGACAACAGCTTCATGATCTTTATTATTATAACCCATGCTATTTCTATATTTAACATTATCGTTTCTTCATACCGAACAATGGTGAAAAGTATCGTCTAGTAGTGAAAAGTTGGAAAATGAAACTAATTTTCTGCCGTTAGCATAACTACAACTCTTGTTGTAAAGTAAGAAAAATCTAATGACCTAGATAAGGTATTTGAATTTTAATAAAATAACACACTCTCTGTTTATCTTCATTAAATTGAATATTTCCGAACTAATATTTATAAACTTGGCGTACATTCAGTAATCTTTTGTCGATTATAGTGGATATTGTAAGACAAACATCGATTATTGCTTTGAAGATAGGAAAATTGAAATGAAAACGGGAATTCGATCATGCAAAACGTGTTTCATTAAAAGATATTTTCCTGATTTAACGTAAGTTTAGATAAATAGGTCAAAAGAAAGATTGACTATGATTAGAATAAAGAGGCTTATCACGTTTGAAATTCAAAGGCTATAAATTCTTCTTTCACTTATATTTCAAGTAAATATGATTTAGAATTAAAACAAAGAAGGGAAAGTTTTTATTAGGAATAAAGACTAAATCAAATTGATGTCACACGGTCATTCAAATATTTCGGTATTCATTAGAGCGTTCAAGAGGATATATTAAAGATAGTGTACCACAGTTATATCACAATACGCTTGTGCTCTTAATCTCAATAAGCTGTACGTATTATACTTTCAGATTATTCCTTACACAAATTAGAGCTCTGAGTTTAATAGAAGAAACGCTACAAACACCAGTTGGTTTTAATAACTTTTAAAATCCGCTTTATTAATCTGACAAATTACCGTATATTTATCGTTATATGTATTTTGTCATTCAAGAAAGGTCCTTCTGATTTTTTTTTTGTTTTATATTATCAGAATGTTTCAGTTATAAACAATTTTAGTTTACGTTGAAAAACGGAAGTTTATTTTTTGGTCGTCTTACTAGTTATTTGAGTAGTGTGAACCAGCGACTCTAAAGTATGATGTAAAAGCACGAGGAAGTGTTTTTCATAATGTGTGTCTTATTTTGCCAGTAACTGATTAAATTGGAGTTAATCAAAACAGGATTGCATTTTAACCTTGACAGGGTGAATATCCTCACGTAAAATTTATGTTGTTTTGATGAACTTGGAATGCCCACTAAATTTAAAATTAGGTAAGTGAGGAAATTAACTCGTATCTTATTGATTTATTCGCTAAACTGTGCTATTTAATGTAGTCCTGTGACTAAGTAATCTGTGTATGTTAAGGCGGATTTGGTTCTCAGATGCTTATCTCCACATAAGCGATGGAGAAAATGAAAAGAAATAGTAGAAAAAACCTCGGGAGCTTCCGAAAAAATCCAGCTAACTCTAAAAAGATACATGGCTAAATACATAGACAGCTAGAACAAAGCTCACAATAATTTGAAAAACATATACCAAAAATCAGGCATTCGCTGTATCAGTCGGTATAACGGACTCAAGATCAAATTATAAAGACTTGTGAACGGAAGGAGGTATAGTAATAGTCTATAAGTATGACGAAAGCTCGAGAATAATAGAACCCCATGAATCATTTATGGCGACCTGCTTGAACATCTGGGATACCTGCCATTTAGATATTTCAACAAGTTATCTAATTTTATTTGTTTTAATACATCATTATGGCTATTAATTGCATAACCTACTCAGGTTCGTTTCTGAAAAGTGTACAACCATTCGTCCTACAAGTTACAAAAGGACCAATCAGAGATATCGTGGTTGCTGGCAATATACAGCGAAAAGAATGTGCGTTATTTAGATGTTGATTTATTGTACTCCTAACTTCTAACCATTGATCAATCAATATTTATCGTCAGGACAGACCAAGAAGTAAGAAACGGAAACTTGTTGAAATACTTTATGCTGAGAATTCTATATTGTACTAAAAATATAATATTGGATAAAGCTGATAATAACAATGATGACCCAACCGTTAATGATTACACATCAAAATATAAAGGTAGTAATGTCCGGATATACAGGTTAGATGATTTACTATTATTTTTCTCCCCAAAACAGTTGTGTAAAATCCCAAAAACGAAAAAGAGTACTTATCTGTCACTAACTAGGAAACGTGAAGTACTTTCCATTTCCTGTTGTAGGGAACGAGAACATAAGTGGGAAATGTCGAATGTATTTGAACACGAAATTACGAAATCTCTTCGTAAAATCCGAGAACCATGCAGCAAATACTTCATTTACAAAATATCAGTCAATCGTCTCAGACTTCATTGTCCCTTCGTTTCCACACCAATGAATCACTGTTCTCGTTCACTTTTCTTCGACCTTCTTAACCTTCTGCCTCCAAGTATTTCACTTCCGATTGATGATACATACTACTTGTGTCTATCGACATCAGTAGCACCCAACACATATAACTCTTCACACTGGACTTTTTAATATCCATTCTAAAAGTTTTTCAAAGTGGCAAGATGTAACATGAAAAAAAGTTGAATGACGTTAGAAAAAGGTATTCACATATTATGGTCGTCAGAACTCTTGAAGAAAAGCTCTTGAAGATTTTTTTGATACGTTGAAGTTTTGGGCTTACATTGTGTTGAATAATTCTAATGTTCCTTAACTAGTAGTCATAGTAGTGGATTGGCAAAAGTGTGATATATTTATGTATGATATGATATATGATATATGATGATATGATATATGATATATTTATACAACAATAGAACAATAATGAATAAACATCAATCAAAAAATAACTTCGTATGTAATGTAATTAACTTGATTAGATTTATGCCAATTTCCATTTCTCAAACCACTCTGTCAGGAATTCCACAGTAAATCGATTTCCCAGTCAGCTTGTAAAGGTGTTGAGATGGTGGAGATGTTATTTGTCGTATTATCGCTCTTAAACATGAATTAGAGATTCTTTAAAATGATGTGGTCGCTGAGTACCAATAAATCAGTAAGTCTCTCCGACACTAACTTAATCTGCTCACTGACAAAATTTTCAATAAAAACTACTTCTTTAATATGAAGTTAATTTGCCAACCATTTGAACTAAGATCTAAGCCAAATTGAACTTAACGAAAGAAAAGCTGGGTTAAATCCACGTAAGATAAGTCAAAATAATCCAAAAAATAATTATACTGCATTGTTAAAGCCTTATTTTTAGAAAATGATTTTATTCTTAGGAATGATTAGGATATAAAACTCGAGAAATTTTAGTGGATATATGACGCTGTCGAAATACATCAGATATGTTTTATAGAGATATTTTGCTGGAAAACCATTTATGACTGATTCAGTTTAAGTGTATTTCAATGGCTTTGCTAAGTAATTATGCTAAATCACTGTTTATAATTCCTTGATGTGTCCTACTGCTTCCTGCTTGTCAATAAATCCGATAAATAAATTCTCTGAATAAATGACACGAAGTATCTTACTTTATGTTCTTATTTTAATAGATTATCAACTTTAACGTAATATCTAAAAGAATTAAACTGTCAATGTGATATAAATCATGAAATTGTATTCCTGTTGGCTGATATGGTTATTCATTGGATTTGTTGCGGGAGACAATCATACATCTCAAGACCAAATGAATGTTTCAATTGTTGTAACTGAACCATATATTCATTCTTCAGCAACTAATTCAATAGCATCTAGTTCATCATGTTTGAAAAGATTCAGATCGGATGAGCTCAACGTATTTTTAGTTTTTGCCCGCATAGTGACTCCAGTTGTTTTTGGACTGATTCTAATTATTGGATTTGTTGGTAATCTATTTGTGATGATTGTTGTCCTAGCCAACGCTCAAATGCGTAATACAACAAATATTTTAATTTTCTCATTAGCAGTAGCTGATATGGCATTTATTGTCATTTGTGTTCCGTCCGCAGCCATAGTTTATGTGGCTGGCAAATGGCCATTGGGATTATCATTGTGCCGTATTTATTATTATTCTTCATACGTCTCCGTGTATTGCAGTGTGTACACCTTAGTATTGATGAGTTTGGATCGCTTCGTGGCTGTAGTCTATCCCATTCAGTGTATGCATATTCGTACACAGAAGAACACTACTATTGCAGTATTAATTACTTGGACCGTAGTGCTGGTTATAAACATACCCTTATTTATTGGTGCAATTTTAGTAAAAGGCCCACCGGAAGGCGGTGAAAGTTCTTGTGTTACGGAATATTGTACATATTCATGGTTAGTCAATTTTGATGCACATACGAATATCGCAAGAGATAATCGACAGGGCGGACAAATGTTTTTTCTTCTTTTCTTTTTGTTTGGATACTTGTTCCCATTTGTTGTAATCTGCTTGTTATATATATGTTTAATTTTGAGACTACGTTACGGTCCATCTTCAAAAATGGCACGTTCAGCAGAGGCACAACGTTCAAAGAGACGGGTTACACGCTTAGTTGTAACTGTAGTCATTGTTTTTGGCATTAGTTGGTTGCCTATTCATGCTATCTTTTTAATACAATATTATGCAAAAGACCCAGAAACAGATTTATTTAGAATAATACAAATATTAGGAAATTGTTTGGCTTACGGAAACAGTAGTATCAATCCAATTCTGTATGCATTTTTATCTGAAAAATTTCGAGCTGGATTTTTAAAACTTATTTGCAGTCGTAAGTCAAATCCTACAGCGGGAAGACTTCAAGAGAAATGTTTTGATAATGAAACAGCTGCTTGATAAAACAAAGAGATGTTAATTTGTCTTTAGTCTTTTGTTATCAACTTGTAAAAGAAATAAATGACAATATTGAAATATTAAATTGTCTAGTATTAATTATTGCATAAAATATGTGTAGTATGGCACTCATAATGATTTAAATTAAGGAACATTTAGATGTATGTGTCTTCCTTGAAACTATGAACTTTCTATTTTATGATCTCTTTGAGGCGATGAATTCCTTATGATATTTATTCATTTTTTTATATTTACTGGTACAGAACAATCGGATCTAATTACCATTATTAACAAACCTCACCTTAAACATTCCCACGTGCACATGTGACTTTTCACCAGTTATTTAGAGCAATAAACAGGATTCTATCAAATAGTTAAAAATTTGTCTTATATTGTATTTGCATTTAAACAATTTAAAAATAAACTTTCTCTTATACCATGATATTAGTTTTCAATGTTTATTTCAATCATAGAAACAGTCAAAACTAAGGAACGTTGTTTATTTCTATAGTGAGTATTATTTTAGCTGTTCCGCGATTACCTTCAATATGTATATATCTTATAATACAATTTAACTCTTATTAGTTGGCAAATATGAAATGTAACCAACAATAATTAGCATATTGTGATTACATTAACTTATTCCAATAGATCAGTAAATATTTAGACAATTGCAGCAATTGCTTCAGCAGTGACCAGAAGTAATAGGGAGAGGTTTCATATTTTTGCATCTAACTTGATTCTAAGCCATTTCAAATCAGATGCGCACATTAAGTCTATCTGCAGGTTGATTTTTAAAGATCATTATCTTTATTTAGACGAAAAAAATAAGTCATTCTCATAAAAAAATTTCATTCACTTTGTTTACTTTAGAAATATGATGGTGAAAATACTGTTAAACTGTGAGTGACAGAAACTAAAATACTCGAGGCCTATTTTCATGCAACATCGAAGATAGGTGAACCAATAAATAAGGAGTATTAATTCCGAAATCTACGTCCAGTGAATTTGGAGACTGACAAGATAGACTAGAAGCACTAATTCCTGTATATGTGAATGCTCTCGTCACTCAAACGATAGTGTATATTTTTTGCGTTAATACAGAACAAAGAAGAATTTCGACGTATATGATACTACTCAAAGAGAGGTGAAATGCAACAAATTACTATAAATATTAGCCATTCTTGCAACAATGACATAAAGTCATACTTAAATTAATTCCAATGAGATCACATATTGCTTTGGTTGACAAATATATCGAGCACTAATCAATGTTAGACGCATCAATTGATGATTATTTCGAATGTTAGTATTTACACTGAAAGTACTTCGTACGTATCAGTATGAAATTATAACTTAATTATTTCGCATTAACTGAAATCGATTTTTCAGAGAATAAATAATAAACTTAAATTAATATCAGTTCAAACAGTACTGAATCTGATGTTGGTTTGTTCTCTGAGCTGGATGGTTTGGTCGTGGAGCTTTCATCGTCCTTCTGAAATTCGAACACTTCACTTCTACCTGAAGTTTGTGCCGATGATGTCGTTCGGAAGGACGATGAAAGTTCCATGACCAAACCATCCAGCTCAGAGAACAAAGCTGTAAATAGTGTTTATGCTCGAGTGTACTTCATGACAACAGAGTTGTATCGTTGTTAAATACTGATATTCACAAAATCTACTAAACTGGCAGTGGTAAGTCCAGTTTTTCTAATAATTTACGCATCGTTTGTCAGTATGATAGACCCAGATTGAACACATCTAACGTAAGACTTTCTGTCAACATTTCCTGCTAATGGGTAACATATTTTCGGATAAAATATAATAAAATGAGGTATTTCTAATATCTTAATGAAAAGAATAATCACTTACGGACGTGTCAAGATTTAGTTTAAATCGATTTTTCAGAGAATGAATAATCAACTTAAATTAATAACAGTTCAAACAGTACTGAATCACAAATCGAAATATTTAATGCAATCAAAACAAATCTGATTATGCTAATATCACGTCATTCAGGTTAAAGGTTATTCTATGTGAAACATTGATGTTTGTTTTCATGTATATATGAGTTAGTGTGGAAATTGTATTTGTAGTATGAGGGAGTAGGCGTAAAACTAATTTGTATACATGTTCATAGAGTGAGATGTGAATCAACTAAGTGTGATTATTTGAACAAATGGTCTATATTGAATGGATAGATATGCTTTCTTTTCAACTAAGGCCGATAAGGTTTAGAAACATATGAAAGCTTCAACCACTCGCCTCTCTAAAACTTCTAGAACTATTTTGGTAGCTGCTTAGTAAATATGAATACATGCGCATGTCCCAAGCAGAAACAATACTTGGTCTAAATGACGTGATAGTGGCATAATCAGATTTGTTTTGATTGCACTCAATATTTCGATTTGTTATTCAGTACTGTTTGAACTGATATTAATTTAAGTTTATTATTCATTCTCTGAAAAATAGATTTAAACTAAATCTTGACACGTTCGTAAGTGATTGTTCTTTTCATTAAGATATTAGAAATATAATATTATATTATCGTTATAAACAGCCCGCTACTACGGGATTGCATCTTTTAACGTTGATCCACTGCCCTGTTGATTAGACTCTGGTTGTGAATCCTAAAGAAAACAATCACAGTCATACGATAGCACTTATTTTTATTTCTTTATACAGCGTCACTTACGTACTTTCCTTTATTCTCATTTCGCGTATTTTACGTTTCAACTTATTCAGCAGTTTTCTGTGATGGAAACCCTGTCCTATATAAGCAATGTCAAGTCAATGATTGATGAAAATTCGAATACTACCGACGAATCCAAATACTGAAACAGTCTTTCTTAGACCACGTATACCATTCAAAATGGTCTCCTTCAACGTTCGCACACTAATGCAGATCGGACAACAGATAGGGCTGGCTATATCTTTAGAAAGTCTTAATATCGACGTCTGTTGTCTATCTGAGACCCGTATTCAAGAATCTGGTCAAGTACTACAAATTCGCTCTCCATCTGTTGCCCGAAAAGGCTTGTTTTACGTGCGCTTATCCGCGGACTCTGTGACATCTTCGTCTGGCTTTGCTGGCGTTGGTGTTGCACTAAGCACTAAAGCTGCGGCAGCACTAATCGATTGGATCCCCATTAACAGTCGGTTATGTGCTGTTAGATTAGAAAGTCCCATCAAAATAAAGTGAAATCGGTGCGGGAAACGATGTCTTTTCGTCATCTCTTCCTAAGGCCCCGACACATTGCAGCCCGGATGCAATCAACGATGAATTCTACCACCAATTAACTGTTCTTTTCCAGAAAGTGCGTTCGACATATATTGTAGTACTAAACGGAGACTTGAATGCACAGGTCGAGCGTCTAGGCACAGAAGAGAGTCATTTAGGTGGTCGATGGGGGCTTTCTAGTGGCAGGTCAGATAACGGTGACCGTCTACTGCAATTGTGCACAGACTACAACCTATTTCTGGCTTGCATCAACTACCGGCAAAGTCATTGCCGATGTGCCACATGGCGCCCTCCCTCCGCATCTTAAGCCTGGATTCAGATTGGTCACATCACGATCAGCTACCGCTGGCGTGGTTGTGTACAAGACTGCCCCTCCTTTCGGAGTACTTATCTGGAGTCTGGTCATGCCCTGGTCTGCGTCAATCTCACCTTACTTTTCAGTGGTCAACAAATTCATCATCCTAAACAGATCGATGTCAGTAAATTGGTCGCAGCTTCTGTCGCTACTAAATATCTAACCGAGCTAGGTTCAAAGTTAGCTAACATTTCACCGAAAAGTATAGGTGAGCATTCATTGCAACTGCATTACGCTATGAAAGTGGCTGGTAGGGTCGCTTACGGCTTCGTGAAACGTCCCGCCTATAAGCAATGATTTTCTTCAGGCACCTTACAACTCAATGAAGCCCATCGGTCTACTCTGGGTGACCTCGATTTTGACCATAAGCGAAGATTATTATGTAACGAAATTGTGTAAAACTTGCGTCGGAGTGGGCTAACGAGTTGGAAACGGCTGGTGTATCTAGTAACTGCCAGAATTTCTTTCAACTTATCCGCTTCACTGGTAGAAAGAAATCTGGTGAGATATTTCTGCCTTCCGTGGCCTGTGATGACTGATCCGCCTAAAGAGGCGGAAGTCCGCAAGGGACTTCAACTCTTGAAGAGCACTAAGAAGGACTTGACATACATGACATTGGTCGCCACCCACTAACCAATCAATTGTAAATTAAAGATTTTACACTATTCCTCAAAATTTAACCATACAATAATAAATTTCACGTTATTAATCAGCGATTGTTATAATAGTTACTTTTAGATATAGACACTTGAATAAATAGCGATTTCATACAACTTTATTTTTTCAATAGAATTAATGTTATTTTTCATGAATTTGATCGACAATTTATTTTTCGAGAGTCATTTAATTATTCTGTTTTTGATTTAACTAATGAAGTAGTAATGAAGAAGTAAACTTTGATACAAAGCCAAGTATTTTACTGAAATTCGTTAGAAATTCAAAATCTATCTACGATGGATTGTGTGAACTTAAAGAAAAAATCAAGTCCAATAAGTAGTACGTTATTTTTAAAACAGAATTAACATACAACAACAGAGAGCAGTTAGCGAAAGAATAATATAAGAGAAATAATGAATCTGTCTTTGTAATCAAGTGAAAACACTAGTGGCAATTATAATGTCTTAAAATAGAAATAAATTTCCAACTAAAAAACAGATTTTCATAGTTGAAAGCGTGAGTCAATTGAAGCTAGACCACTATCAAAAACCTGGAAGCACTGAACGGCCGTTTCGTCCTATTATGGCACCCCTCAGCACGATTGGTTGAAGTTAGACATTAACACCGTTGGATGCCGGCTCAGTGGTCTATCAATTAAGGGCTCTGGCGCGAGACTGGTAGGTCCTGGATTCGAATATCGCGAGTGCGGGATCGTGGATGTGCACTGCTGAGGAGTCCCATAATAGGACGAAACGGTCGTCCAGTGCTTCCAGGTTTTCCATGGTGGTCTAGCTTCAATTGACTCACGCTTTCAACTATGAAAATACTAAATCTCCACAAAACCCCTTCTGATAAGTAAAAAAAGATTTGTTGGACATTGTAGATCTAATAACAGCTGAAGGTAATGAGTAAGGACAATTTCTTCAAGGTAAATGAGTAATTGAATTGAATAAAACTGAAACCCCGACTTTTCTGATCTCATCAACAAATAATTCAAATATTCGCAGTAAAATTTGTGGTAAGATTTGCTTTAAAGTCAATAGGCGTTGCTTACTTTTCATAAAGACAGTAAATGATTGAGTAAGAATAACTTTAAAAATACTTTCCCAAGTCCCTACTTTACATTTGAGAAAAACGTTTTTACTCCAAATTTCATCACTGCCATCCTAGAAAAATGACTTCA